GATAATGCAATTGCTCATGACCCGGATTCAGTCACATTCTCACCGACATAACGTGGCTGCCCTCTGACTTTTCTGCAAATATTTATGCAATTGTTCTGAGATTTTCCTCCTAGTGCCTCGACTGCACTAATTTAAGCTTACTACTAGATTGGCAATTAGGTCTCACCATTTTACTGTTAAACTAGCTTGATGCACGTATATGTTATATTCTAATAGTTTTTCTTGCATGTAGAAATCTCTTCAGATTTTTGCTTCCCTGTCACCTATGATCTTCAAATATACAAACAGTACCAATAGCCAACTTCTGTCCTCCTGAACCATGTGCTTTTATTGTCCTTTCTCCTCACCCATTTCACTCTCTGTACCGCTTATGTTTTAGTGGCATTATCGCCTTGCTTGGGATGAAATGATTAAAAAAAAAACTTAGGGTATTTTTGTATTTATTAATTTTTCTTAGTTGGAGTTAGACGTACACCCGCAATTTGTTTATTAATTTAATTCTTTATTTTATTTTTAGTGTGGGGAGGGGACTTTGTAAATCTTATTTTTTGAAGCATTGGCATTGTCGAATGTTACATTATCTGCGGTGTACATAGCGCGCATATATATATATATATATTTGCATTTTTTGCGATGAGGTTTTAAAAAGGTATTCGCTTTTAGTTTAAGTAATGCAGACTTTTGGCACCGAGTACCCATTTTTATATTTGCACATGCTCTATCCATGATATTGAGGACTTTTACTTATAAATATAAGCTACCTTAAAATTATATTTTACCCTCTTTCTCATTCATATATCTCGACTAGGTTTGGGCACCTTGAGGTGGTGTAATGTTTAGCAAGCTTGTCTCGCTAGAACAATTACAAATGAGTAGTGACTTCGATCCTCACTGGGTGCCCCATACTTTCGGCCTTGTGCCACATCTAAGCTATGCTTGGAAAATCACTATATCTCGACTAGGTTATACTTGTATCATTTTTAGTTGAACTGAGTAAATACAAAACATTTTCTGATGTTTTCAGGTAATATGAGAATGCCACAAGATATTAAAAAGAAAGAAATTCTAGTTTTGGGCCACAATTAAATATTGTTACTGGAAATTCCTCCCTCGACAATAATTTTCATTATACCAAGAGAAAGAAAATCAAATCATATGGAATGTCAATTATTAGTATAAGGTATTTGTAATGGTGATGACTGGTGATATATTTAATATACTGAATGAACCCGATTTGAATGAACCCGATTATTACCGTGAACGATAAATTCTTAGAGTTAATTACAGTCACGAGAAATAATATGAAAATGTGAACAAGTGAAAAAGGCAGGGATCCCTTCTTTTTTCTTGGGATACCGCATATTTTTTTTCATCTATTCTATATATTAAATGTATTAGAATATATTTTACTTTTTGATGGTGTGTGGGATTTTTTTAAAAGATAATTTATAAAGATCATTTTCAAATAATCCTTAAAATGAATTTCTACTTTTGCATTAGGTGATGTTTGGCAATTTTTATAGTTTAATTTAGCAAGTAAAACATGAAGAGTTTATAGCTCCTGGAATTTAAGCTTGAACTTATTTTATCCCCAAAAGAATTTTAATGTAGATTTTAACTTTGGTAAGATGAAGGATAATGTCAACGGGAAATCAAATAGAAAAGGTAACCATGTTAATGTATATAAAGGATGTTCCAAAATGGTTTCTCTATTTTGATAGACACATTTTAGGATACATCTTGGCATGCGATTATATATTTGAAATTGACAGAAATAGTAAAAAGTTTCTAACAACCCTAAAAAGAGTGGATTACTTTCAAGTATTTGGCCTGTAAATGTAAAAACAAAATAGGTTAAAAGCAATTCATTTTTTATCCATTTAAAAGCCTCGAAATGTTCCAATTATTTCAGCATTAACAGGCCAAGAAATACTTTTTAGGGATTTTAGAAGCTTTTTGAATTTTTCATACATTCTTATCAAATGAATATCTACAAATGTATGTATGCCTTCATGTAAGTTCCGAAAATGAATCTATTAAATAGGTAAAATCATTTTGGGACATTTGGGCATTTTTCTTTTTGTTTTTCCATTGTGTGTGTGTTTTTTTTGTTTTTTTTTAACCCAAACATACCAGTTGAAACTCATGATGAAAGTGCGAACAAGAAGTGTAGGGGAGAGGCAAATTTTCCAGCATTTGGTCTTTTTTCGATCAACACCACCAATTTTTTCATCAAAATATTCTCTTGGCAAAGCTTTCTTGTTAATTCGAGCGATGCGTTTCAAAATTATATCGGCTTCTTCATCTCGGCCTGCACTGATTAACCAACGTGGTGATTCTGGTATAAAGCTACAAAAAACAAAAAAAACAAAAAAAAAAAAACATAATTCAAATGTTTTTATATTATGGATTGAATTTAGCACACAGGTTTATGCATTAAATGGAAATCAAATACATTGAGATTTCAGTCTGCAGTATTTACAAATCTTACAGAGAAATGAAGTGGGTACTTTATTCAGTTAATATTCCATGGTCAATGTGCCAACATCGGCTTTGTCTAACATATATTGAGTTTTGAAAAGTCTTATTACAATAATTGCAATGACTTCATTCTGTTATTCAAAACGAAACCGAATCTACAAGGGCATTTAAATCTTAAAAATATTTTTTATTTAAGCATTTTGATATTTATGATAAAATTTATATACACACACACAGACATTAAAACACGTTTTCCCCTCTTATACTGAGAGGAAAACAAATCTTTGGAGAAGAAAAAAAAAAAAAAAAATCAAAAGATTTGTTTTTTTTCCTGTAACGAAAACTAATTCAAATTGTCTGCATGCTTTGTGCTGCTGCTACAATACTGCCTTTGAATAGAATCTGCTCAAAAAACGAGCTAAAAAATATTCAAATAACTCGATTGGGATGCATGTTTGTGAAAAATCAATTTGAACTGAAGAAAAAAAAAAACAAAAAAAAACAACAAAAACCAAAACATTATGCTTTAATCTAAATTGATAATAGAGTTCGGGCAGTAGAAATGTCACTCAGGGGTACGAGTAAGTTTAATGCCCACAGGTGGATAATATTTAGGGAGATTTCTACCAATTTTTACTTACAGAAAATAAGAAGCACTAAAGATGAAAGATGGAATAGAGACAACAGTCATAAGGATTCTCCAGTCCTTAATGAGGTAAGCAAGTCCACAGAGAACACAGAAACCCATTGAGAAGAAGGCTTGTTCCACAATGCCCACTGCTGTTCGATACTTCAAACCAACCATCTCAGTTGCTTAAAATTGAAAAGAAAAGTAAATATAAATAATCAGTATTAGGGACAAAAGTCAAGGCTACAGACGTCTTACTGCTCCATGGTAAGTTTTTGTTTTTGGTTTTGCAGGTGGGAAGGGGATAATGGTTTTTGTTTTTAAATTGAAAGGACAGAAACAATTTTTTTAGAACAAAACACCAAAAAACTTATTTACTACAACTTACAAATATAAATTTTGTTGTTCATTTTATAAATGATAATTATTTCTTTTTAAAAAAAAATGTTCTAGAAAACCAAAGGACGTTGAATTTTCGAAACTGAGTGACTTTACAAAAATTTGAAGTTTATATGTGAATGTGTTTTTTTTTTTTTTTTTTGTTTTTTACAAAAATCAAAATAATCTAATGGATTAGGATAAAATTTTCTAGAAATTTATACTTTTTTGCTACTAAAGAGGTAAAGTTCCACACATCAAGTGTAAATTTCAAATCCCACGAAATATTAATATAGTTGCAAAACTTGTAGAAATTGCATCATATCACTTTACAATTTAACCACAGAATTCAAATTCCGATTGCATTAAAAGTAATTATTTAATTAAAAATCGATTTAAATAGTTTTATTAACAAAAGAGAAGGATTAGAAGATATACAATAACATCAGCTTGACAGCACCATTATAAACGGCTTTACATTTCTTAGGTCTGTGATTGTTGTCCAATTGCTAGGATTTCTGAAATAAAACTGACATTTTTATTGTTTTACTAACTGAATTCTCACTTTTAAAAATGTTCGTTAGTGAGAGAATGAGACGTTGAATAGGGGATGGGGTTTCTTTCAGTTAAGTGATCTGACCACAATTTGAGCAGCAAAGACCCAAGTGAAATCCGATTCAAATTTCTACTGACACCAATCTATCATTCTGACATGTTCCATTGCCGTAGACTACTCTGAAATCTGAAGGTGAAACCATGATGTTGAATATATTACACACATTCTATGCCGGGCCTTATTTTATGTTACCAACATTCACTATGCCATGTGTTATCATTCCTCAACAAACCAGAAGAATATATCAGTTTTCAAGCCTGAAACTAGTACTGTTCATTATTTCAGCAATTAATACTGATATGATTAACGTGTTTACTATTTCTGATTTTACCAAGAACAATGTTACGAACACTTCTGTTGTTGTCGACGGAATTATGTCGTTACGAAATTTGCCATATATATATATATATATATATATATATACACACACACTCAAGATATGAAATGCCGGTCCCTAGCGTTTGTGTTGTAGACTAGCACTTTTCAACCCAGCACAAACATGTTAGCATACAATACGACCTGTTTTGTGGCGCACTTTTATCATAGTTTATGTTGGTGATCTCATTTACTATTGTTTGTACTACAGAGTGTACAGAGGGAAGGAACAAGTATAACAATACAAATGTTGTCTTAATTACAGGCGACGCTTGTCTATATTTTCGTTCCCGTACTCATATTTGATTACATCAATAAAAGCATACACTACAGAGTAACCGATCGAAATCAAAATGGCGGCGGCCATGAAAAAAAAGTCGCCTTCATCTGTCATTTATTTCCAGTAAATTGCAATTTCTTATGTTTCAGTCACAGAACAATAAAACGTTACTAACGAGACTGACAAATGGCAACTAAACTTAAAGTCATCTTTATGATTCTAAACTTGTTACGGATACATCACGTGGAATCACCTATTCTCGTACGATCGCCGAGGTTAAGCAACGTCGAGCCTGGCAAGTACATAGATGGGTGACAGCTTGGGAATACCAAGTGCTGTAAGCTTGGATTTACGGGTCGTGTAGTGTATAACGACTGAATTATTAATCGGAAAGCTGAATTCCAGTTGAGTTCATTCCAGTTGCACTTACGCGCAAATACCCTTGGGATAGGTACGAATCCACCTCTTCTCTCCAGCTATGGCCTAACTGGTAAGACTTGTATCACTAACACATTGTAATCTTGAGGAAAAAAAAAAAAAATTTAAATCTAAAAATATTTCCTGGCTTTAATCTGAAAAGGGATGATAATCCGTAAAATAATCAATAAAACATCTACCTACCCTCATTTAGAGGCAATAGGAAAATGTTTGGAGAGGCAGGTCCTTATTGCTAAGTGTTAGCAATAAACTGTCTATATAATTAAAATCTAAGACAACGCGTATACGCTAGTATTATATGCCTTACAGAGGAAGCAACTTCACTAAAGATTCCGATTACCGGGGGTGGGGATAGGTCATTTATCTACCGCTTCAGAACGGAATCTGTTTATTTACATAATTGGGAAAGGTATGAATCCACCTTTCTCCCACCAGCTAATCGCTGTTTGGCGTCTTGACTGAAGGGATGGTTGATTGACTACGACGACTAACCAACCTTTCTTTTTCACTTTTCTCGCTCCCAACATTTTAAAAAGTTAGATGTTGACAATCTTTTTAATGTGGTTCAATAGTTATGTGGAAATATACACTTAAGGAATAACTGGAAAAATGGTGTTCACTAATGCTGAGATCTGGAAAAGAAATTCAAAAATAAATACTTTGTACTTGAAAAACAACGGTATGAAAAATAAAAAAAAAAAAAGATTTTTCCCGGATCACGTGATGATTAATTATGTCACAGTAGAAGGCTTACTTGTTCCAGTGATCCCAAGAGTGAAACTGTCTAGGGTTCCAATTCCTGTAAGGGGCACCCATAGCAGTAAGCTTGAAGAGGAAAGACCAGATTGAACGCGACCAACCCCGAAGATCCCAACAGCGGAATAGGCAAAAATCTAAACGACCTCAGCAACCAAACCGGTGGAAGTGCGCAGCACCAGACGGGCTGGTGTAACGAAGGCGGACATTGACAGACCAAACATCCGACAGCCCGATGCAACCAAGTTTGCCAGATTTCGCTTGCCTCAATCCCCTTTGAGCCGTGTGGGAGGTGCTTCTGGCTGGCCAAGTGTGTAAGCTTCTCCGTCGAGTAGAGTTGTCCACCAAAATTAAATTCATGCGAATGGCCTCGTCAAACTTTAATTCACAGTCATCTCCGCCACCAGAGGAGAAAAGAGAATAGAGAGACTGACGATCCCGATGCGAGCAAGTGCCAGCAACATGCAATTTTGCTGTTTTTCAGTGTTTTGTTAGCAGATGCTTGTGGAAACGACACCATTAAATACTATCAGGAAATAGACATTTTTTAAAAAAAATTCTTTTAGATATAAAATGTAAAATATGCTTATTGGAATAAAAATGTATTTTCGAAATGAGGGCAACATCATCTCGGGATTAAAGCCGATTCGTTTTACATAGATGTAAACAAACTGTAGCCTCTTGTATGAAATGCATTGGATTTTGAAATCTCTATAGCCACGTCACCAGTTTGAAGCTTTAAATTTGGTCACCAGTTTGACAGAAAGAAATGTTTAATAACTACACAGCATGCAAAAAATAAAATTGGAAATTGTAAAACGAATGTCATGTACGGCGAAACTGAAGTAGTTCGTTGTCAAATCTTTATCAACGTCGACGTAGCTCTGATAAATGCAAATTGAGGACTACCTTGCCGATCTGTGCCGTTGTATAAAAAGAGAAGTTATTTCTTTTTAAAAAAATCTATCTTTTTCAATCTATAAAATATTAATATTTTAGTCATTGTGGCAGCGAGGACGTGTCGAAAACGTACATGTCAGGTGTTAAATTAAGTACTAAAGCAAATCTCTAGCATTTCTTGGAGAAAAAAAAAAACATTGAAAAGAGAAATGTAACTGGGTAAACAATATACAAAGAGATTTCTTCTACAGTTCTTTTCTCCGACGAATAGCGTGTTACTTTCGACAGACATGGCCGATAGATCAATGATCAAGGTTCCATTTAAAGAAATAAAAGGTAGAAGTGATTTGGCGGTGAGATTATTGATGATAAAGTTGTAGGCACTGAGCGAGTTTCAGGTGGTATTAAGGTAACAGCTCAGACATACATTTTGAAGGTACACATGGAATCATAGTTCAATAAGGAGCCATATGCTTCCAGAAATATTTTTATGCATAACAATACTCCTCATATTCAAATAATATATGTATAGAATTGGTTTCAACGACACTTGATGAAGTATTTGGATTGTTCAACCGATCAGAACCCGATTGAAAACATTAAGGTCATTCTGAAGAGAAAAATATACATTGGTGAATGGCAGTTTACTAGAAAAAAGGAACAGTAGAATCCTATTTGTGTATAGTTTGATATTAAGAAATACATCAGCTCACAAAATCGATGGATGAATGATTTCTAAAAACTAGTTTCATAATATACATTTTGACAATGTTCCCTTCAGTTTAGACATGACAACGGAGAGGACAATGGCAATTCGGCTCTGTGCATGTAATTGGAATGTTTCCAGCAAACGTGACTGTTTCGTGGCATATGGTGGCAATGGCATCTGAGCGGTATGAGTATAATCAACACTGATCGGAAAGCTGATATGTATATTTAGGCGACAGGTTAAGCAAAAGGAGATAGAAAATGAAAACTCCATGATAAGCTGTCAAAGAGAGAGAGGAAAGAAACCCAACCAGAAATTCACTTCTCTCTCACTGACACGGTGAAAAGATTGATCTATTTTTCTCTTTAACAACACTTTTTGCTCAGTTCTGTTTCCCATTTTGGAAACATCGGGCTTCTAGTTGACAAGGATGAAGACATTTGCATTTTTTTCTTCTATATACCGTGTTAGTCTTGTAAGACTGCAACCATGTTACAACGCTTGCCAACAGTACTTTTCTTGCCTGTTCACACAAGCACACACACATATATATATATATATATATATATATATATATATATATATATATATATACACCTCACAGAAGACGCCTCCTATCAAATCAGTGAATCTGTACCACCTCCAGATTTGTCACGCCAACAACTCCACAGGAAGTCTCACTGCAGTATGAAAGTGAAAGTACCTTAAATGGTTAATGTGAGACATGTCTACTGACTTCGAGATGGGTTAAATTTTTGAGTTTTGCTTTTACTCTTCACCATTTACTAATATATTTTAAATGATTTCAACTGATTGAGTAAGTTTTGATTTTAATTAATAGGAGCACAATCTTTTGTTCATCACGATTCAATCGATATTTTATTCAATATTTCTCAGGTAAATATTAAAGTCTTTAGTCATTTTTCCCTTTTTAATAAAAGTCATAGATCCATGAATCAATACATGCCAGATTTAAGTGGGAATTTGTTTTGACCCCCAAAGAAAAATGTAGGATTATTTTTAGAAATATGTATAATAACTGATTCTCATTAAAAACAAAGGTGAAAATTATCAACTAATTCAATATTATTTCTCTTTGAAATCTTGCCATCACCAAGACATGCATCTCAAGTTTCCAAAGAAAAATCGAGTTAAGAACAAATTTCATATTTTAACTTTACTTTATTTTGACTCAATTTGTTGCTTTTCTTTCATTTGTTACGAATGTCCGAATAAACCAGAGTCATGTATATTTTATTCAATTTGGTACACCTAATTAAAATTAAACTGATACATTAACTAAATTTCTGATTGAACTGTGTGACCTTTCTCATTTCCTCCTCCCACTAAAAGTTCCCTTTAATGAGAAGATTCAATAAACCTGCACTATTTAAATAGGGATTTGTTTAAAAGAAATTATTTTCTTGGTTGTTGCCGTGTTTCTTAAGCTCCTCATTTACATTCACTATTACATTATTGCGGAGTTTGGCTAATTAGCTTACGGCACTTGGGCAAATATTAGGATTCGCAGGAATTATTTTTAGTCATTTTTGTGGGAAAGAAGTGAAAATATAAGAGTGTGATATGCTATGAATACGGCATCTTCACATAAAATACTTAAGATATATAAGAATTTTTTGTGTTAATCTCTTCTGTAGTGATTGGAATTGCATTAGGAAAATAAATTTAATCGTTAATGAATTAGTTATTAATTCTAATCTATTATTTCCTCTAAAATTTCGCTGTTACAATTTAAACAGCTTATTTTACAATTAAACTTTTTCGGGCTAGTATTTTCATCTTCGTTTTCATCGCGGCATTCCTAATTGTTGAATGTCTGAAAGTACAATAACAATTACGTTTCAAAAATCCCCAAAAGAAATTCCTTTAACCGCGTGTATAGATTCACCATTTCGTTTCGTGGCCCGTTTTGAATCTTTTCGTTGGTGGCTCGGATTGACCGAATCAACAGAAAAATACACAAGTAGTACGAATATATTTATAAAATAAAAACATTCTATAAACCCAATTGTTAATAATTGCATGCCTCTATTCTTTCAGTTCCAGATATTTTCAAAAATATATTTCACAAAAATTATATCACTAACAAGTCAATTCATAATGTTCGATTAATACTCAAATTTAGTCGTATCAATGTGAAAAGAAAAAAAAATCTTAAATAGAAGCACAATGATGATTTCCCCTCTCACCTCCGCAAAATAGTTACGTTTTTGACTAAATGTGACCCCCCTTCTATGACAATAAGCGGTTCTACTGAAATATCCGACTAACCATCGTATATGAATCTAGAACAAGCGCAGATTTAATCATAAACTGACAACTGAAACCCTGAACGATCTCCTCTCGTTATTTGACCCGTACTTTGTTCAACCTCCTGAAACTGTCACTTCTGATAAGCTTTTTTTCACCCTAGTACTTTGACTATATGAATTTAAACGTTCTACTAGATTAGAAACTAGGCCGCACTGTTGAATTAGCTAAATGCAACCGCCACTAACAGTTTCTTTTCTCGCACTTTTCACCTGTTTAACTCTTTTCCGATTTCTTGCTTCCCTGATAACTACCATCTTCAAAGATCTAAATGCGACATCAATCGCCATCTTCTGTCTCATTGAACCCAGTTCCTTTTGACCTTTCCTCAATTCTCCCCACTAGTCTTCTCATTTTCTTTCATTCCCTGTACTCCCCCTTCCATGTCCACTACGCTCTAGTGGCATTGTCGCCTTGCTTGGGGTGAAATGATTAAAAAAAATACATTGTTGTTATCTTGCTCCATAAATATTATGCATATAACAAACATATTATGCATATAACAAACATATTATGCATATAATCAAACACAATAAATGACATTAAATTAAAGATATTCATAGAATATAGTTTTTGTTGATAATCTCTTATATTTTTTTTAACAATGATGTTTATCCTGTACAAGGTTTTAATTAACAACCCCCAAAACAGCATTAAACAGAATGCATGGTAGTCAGCAATAAGTAAGGACTCCAAGGTATACGCTATGTTTTTAGATCGTTAATTAAAGCAGGTGCATAAATGACAAAAATGTCACAATAATCCGAAGGTGTATAAAAGTAGTGAAAGATGTTTTCCAAAGTCTAAGCAAAGTATTAAGAGATAGGAAACTGTTCATAGAAACAAAGAAAAGTGGCAAACTGCTATGCAATATTTAACCTACTATACATATTTAAATCATTTCCCAAGCAAGGCGAAATGTCACTAAGACGCAAAGGGTTACTGGTGGGTGTGTGTGTGTGTGAAAGAAAATGAGATGATTTTAGTGAGGAGGAAGGACAATAAAAGACCAGGGTTCAGGAAGACGTAAGATGGCAATTGGCATTGCATTTAATTTTTGAAGATTGTAGATACAAGAAACAGGAAGAAAGTTCCACAGGTGAGAAGTGCAAAAAGAAAAAAAAAAGACAATTACAATAAAACATATACGGTTGCATCTATACCTAGTTTAATAGTAAAACGGTGAGAATTTGTTGACAATCTAGTAATACATTTAAATTCAGGAAGTTGAGGCACCAAGGAGGAAAGAAATATTTATTCCTTGTAATTTACAGGAAATGTGGCACGAGGCCAAAACCAGAGATAGGGAAGGCTGATCTTCAGTGTCTTAACTTGGCTAGCCACAATCACTGACCCAAACAAACTACAATATTCTTTGCACCAAAACAACACATTCTTACTTACCATTTTTACCACAGCCATCATAATCCCTCAAAGTCTCTATGAAGTCCTAACCAGTTCCCATAAGTACAATTTGTTTGTGAGCGGAAGGGGATGAAATAATTTTTAAAAATGAAACACCAATGTCTATTTACAGTGAATATATTTATAAAATAACGTTAGTATAAAACACCCACAATCCTTAAAATGTTGCTGAACATCAATTAATTGGACGAAATTAATGCCAAGCACTCATCCAAACGTATCACCAATTACCAGAAACACACTTAAAAAAAAAAAAAAAAAAAAAAAAAAAAAACGGAAGGCGCCCCGCATCCATCAGCAAACTGACATCTCTGGTCACCTAACGGAATGGGGTATACCAAGGAGGAAAGCTCATCAGAACAGTTGACGTGAAAATATTTGTAAAAGAAAAAAAGAGAGCCACGTCACGGTAGTGGGAAAGTGAATGGCAGTGGGTACTGGGTACAGATAAAGACTTGAAGCGACAGATTTAGTTTTATAGGCATATGTTGAGAATACAATGGACAGAGCATGTGAGCAATGAGCAAGTTTCAAGAAATATAGGAAGTACAAGTGCGCTTATACTTACAATCAGAACTACAAGGCCTCTCATCGGGAGATCGGAGGTTTTGAGGAACATAGAACGACCTCTTAATTCCAGGTTCACTCTGACTTAGGGTGGTAGCACCCGTTAGGTTCCCAGTTATGGGCAAATGGTGAACCCCCAAACAATAACAAAACATTATGAAAATATAAAAAATATATATTTCTATATAAAAAATTACCAACTATTTATAGCAGAATTATCAATAATACATTTTATCTGTAGTTGAAGGCATACGATTACATTCAAAATATATTTAATTGAAGCCATAAAAATTGTGTTAAAAATATTTACATTTCAGCATTATATAGCCCATAGAGGTTGATATGCCACTAAATAAAATCAACCAACCAACTTATAATCGGAAAGAGACAAATGAAATCTGAGACTCAAATAAGAAAAGAGAGCCTGGAGAATTTAACACACACAGGACTTATTGAAAATGAGAGCAGTAGTAGAAAATAGTAACTAACATATCAAGTTTGAAAGAATGGCAAAAAGAAAGGACAAGGGGAGGGTAAAGGAACAAATTATTTAGAGTAACAAAAACAGAAGAGAAGAGTTATGCTACTCTGAATGACTGATGTTTAAGTGCATGACGAGAAACATTACTGCTGTAAGATACACTCCTTTCACGAGCTGTAAAATTGCCATGAGCAGAAGGAATAAAAGTGGATGCATCTTGAAAAAAAAAAAATGTATTTTTTCCTTAGGAAAGTTCGTCGAAATGTTCATAAATATGGGCATGTCTGATATAAAGTTCAGATTTTGGCAAATGTCATTACGTTCAGTTTAAGGGAGATCGATTTATTTTTCACGGTTTATCAACCCTATGCAGGTTATTTAAAGCCAGAAAATAATTTTAGATTATGAAAATTTGTTGGATATAATGATTTGCTGATACAAATCTTACTAATTAACCCATACCTAGGGGGAAGAGGTGTATTCCTACTTTTCTCAAGGGTATTTGTACGGAAGCGAATATAACAAACCCGATTAAAATTAGAACTCGGCTCTGATTTCTAATTTCGAGCAGTTATCCATTACATCACCTGCACATCTAAGATAACATCACCTGGTATTCCCAAGCAGTCACCCATCTAAGTACTGATCATGCTCGATATAGCTTAACTTTGGTGTTTCAACGTGATATGGCCGTAAGCCAGTTTACGAGAGAAAAGGGAAGTACAAGAGCATTGAGATAAATAAGTTGATCTCTCACCACTTCGCTTATCTTGTAGATGAAAAAAAAGAGTCGTTTAGAGTAGATTTGACAGGCAGGTATTTTTGAGTTGACTGATCATGGCCACTTGTGAAAGTTTTCTATTAAAGTTTTCTGGAAAGTCAATTTTTTTTAAAAATTTACTTCAATCAACGACGATTGCTAGAAATACTTTTTTTATATTTACTGATCCGTTTTCTACTACGTCCGCAAATTTATAATATTATTCTAGATTTTATTTTTGGAGTCCCCCACCCCCGAAGCCTCCCGTTTTGATGTCGATTCTTTTTTGTGGCTTCTGGCATACATTTGAAATCACTAAACGCTATTTACGACACAGCCCCCCCCCAAAAAAAAACCGAGAAAAGAAGCCTAGACACATATGATGCAGATATATTTATATGTAAAAAAAAAAAAAAAAAAAAAAAAAAAAAAAAGAAAATAAAGAATATGTAAAACAATTCTTTTAAATTACTATTACGCCGAGTAAAATAAACAACAACACGAGAAATAAAGCTAGTTAAACAAGATCTGTAAGATATAAAGTACTTAGTATACGCAGTTTGGCATAGATTGGCCGTAAGCCAGAACGATTCTTAAACCGGTTGACGCCACTCAGCCATGGTCTGAATTGCTTCGTTTACATGCGTGTTTATATAAAATGTATGAACTCTCTAACACCTCAGACATCAGGTTTTCACAAATTTTCGAAAGAACTTAGATTAAAATTGAAAGATTCTAATTAGTATTTTCTTAATTTAGTATCTCGCGTGTTGTAGTTCAATAAGAAAACGTTTAGGTATAGAGTATGTGTTAGGTCAAACTTATTGTTTAATAAGGAACAATGAATCGGGTAATTAAATGCAGAGCAACAGAAAAAATAGGCTAAATCCAGTAAACAGCTAAAGTAAACTACATTATACAAGGTAGAGTCCAAATGGAGGAACAGTTATTAATGTCATGCTGGAAAGTTTGGAAGTTTTCTGTAAGTATAGACATATTCCATTTGCATTCAAGTCTTAGTTTTTGCTAAACATGAAATTGCTAAAATAAAAAATAAAAATTTACAAGAGGATAAATTTGAAGGCATTTTATTTGGGGGAAAGAATATTTTGCTTCCTTTTTAAATTTATAATTACTCGGAATTTTCTAATAGTTTTGTTAAAACATTACTTTATCCAGATATCACTTTTCAAAGTTTGGCTTCACTCGGGTATGAGACTATTTAAATCCCTTGGATCGCGCCTGTTATATTTTCATATGACAGGGTATTTCAGTAGTTATCAGTACCCACCACTTTTAGTAGGGTATATTGTATAGGGTTTTATATAAATATTTATTTCGGTAGCGGTACCCGACAATAGCGAAAACAAGCGCAATTGTCAATAACATACACGGGGAAAATTATATCTTCGTTTAGTAAGAGCTTAAATATTCACAATCACGTAGAAATTAAGCAAAATAGACGCGTTCAAACAAAACGAAAAAAAACATTCAAATTGATTTTTTTACGGATATTGATTTAAATATTTTAAAGGAATTTAAGGATATTAATTTAAAATACTTTTTAAAGAATAAGTATTTAATTAAAAAAATACGCTAATAGGTCAGGGACAATGAAAATAATAATCCAGTGAAAATCTTTTTACCTTGTAATTACTTCAAGAACACATTTAACCACATGTGCCCATAAAGAAATACATAAAAAAGAAATTTTAGTGTAAAAAATAATTATAATTTATTCTAAACCAATAAGAATCGAATCGACTCCACTTCTTTCCTCTACACACAAACACACTCACTCCGGACAAGCAGTTCACACGGACAGGTCGTCAACATGTGCGTCAATGAAAATTTAGTCTCCTTTTACTTTTACAGGCCACAATAGTAACATCTCTTAATACCAAACAAAAATTTCAGGTAAGAAAAACCCAGCCAGTTCTTGTATTTTCTAATTATCTGGACACTCATTATACACATCTATAAAAGCATACGAGAAAAACCTAAAACACCATTTATTCTTATTCTGTCGGATTTCGATCCATACTTATGTACATTTGACCCCAAACTCACAAATTACTCAGTATTACTGTCTCATTTCTCCAACACCACGTAACAACTCGTTATGTGGTGTTAGAGAAACTAACACCACATAGATAAGAAATGATACTAGTTTTGTTGTTTCTGCCTTGCCGTTTCTCATTTTCGTATATATAAATATTAGTGAGTTCATAATTATTTACTCAGAGTTGTAATGAAAAATTTCAGTAGTCAGAAAATAGGTAAAGAGGCAAACGTGTTAAAAAAATGGCTGCTTAAATTTCGTTCACCTAATCAAAAAATGCTGAATCAAAATGAAGGCAACTTCAAAACATAGCAAGTTTAATTACAATTTTTTTTTTTTTTTTTTTTTTTAGGAGGTCAACAGGACATGTGGGATGATATAAAAAAAATACACTACCAACTACCTTCGAGTTTCAAATATCCAGATGACGTCATGTCGTAGCATCAAAACTCAATAGACCATTGCTATTAAGTGCCCGCAAATTTTGGCTTTGTGCAAGACTAAGCTAAAGAAAATATTAATTTTTTTCATATTAGTTTTGAAGTAAATATAATTTTCCTTTTTTTGATTCGTAATATAGTGTAAATGCATGGCTAGTGCAACGAGAAATCGTCAAACCGAGTTCAAGTTCTATCCTAGTCTGCTGCATTCATTTTCACACTAATGCTTTTAAGAAAAAGTATAAAGTCATTTAATCTCCTCTAGCTATATGTTAAATGTCACAGTAGTTTGTCTAGTCTAAGTGGAAGACAACCGTGGACAAGGTAATGGGAAGCCATTATATTTACAGAGAATGCGTGGTAATTTACAGAAAAAAAATAAATAAATCTATGTCGAGCCATAATCACCGACATCTTAAAGGAACATCACATTAAATATGATGTTTGTGTGCGTCTAACCTGTTAGTTTTACATAAAACACATCCAAGGCTATCATAGTAAAGTCGCCGCTTTTCCATATATCATTTATATCTATACAAAAATTATTTAATGCCAAAAAGTTTCTATTTTACTAATACCTAACATTAAGAAAAATAACTGCTAACCTCATTGGCATATTAAATTCCATTTGCCCTGATTTTGAAACCGACATATTTAGTCCTTTCTTAGAACATCATTGTGAGCCTCTCACACTCGGTAATTAGAACGGAAGAACAGATTCATTGACAGCCATTTACAGACCTGATATCCAGCAAAATGAATAACAAAACAAGGGCTCAATATCTAGATGGACTCAAAGTTCATTCAAGAAGCAGCGATTTCTTTTTATTACAAAGTAATGTCAACCATTTATATATAGGATCACATATTTCGTTGAATATATATGACACTTTTTTCTTTGTATTGGTCGTTCATTGGTCATGTGAAATCTTCTAGCCGAGTTATACTGATAAAATCTACATGCAATTGAAGCTCGCAGGATGTTGTAGGTCACCACTTTTTGTACTGACCTGTTACTAGAGTAGCAACAGCCGCAGTTAACAACTTGAAAACAGAAACTATTCCTACTTTCTTTAAATCTGACCCATTAAATAAATCGTTAAATGCAAAAATCTGTACGTTGTCCATATAAGACAACTGAACAATAATTTCAGGATGAAGACGTAATTTGAAGAGATCATAAATTAAAAGCGAAAAACGCATTTAATAGAATGGTTTTCCTGAATATCAGAACGTAGTGATTTGATCAATTTTTACAAATAAAGAAAAATATTTAAAAAAAAAAAAAAACCATGAAAACTTCATTTTCTTGCATCCTTCAGGAGCAATTTCTTTTGCTCGTCCATTGAAAACTAAAAGAAATTTAGGCCATTTTGTATTTGTCGAAGCTACTGATATATTCAGAAGTTTGGGGTTTTGCCTTTATAATTAAAAAAATAAAAGGGACAAAATGTAATTTCAAAATCAAATTTACCTTTCAGCTGTCGAATGCTAGTGCGTATATCAAATGGATATTGCAGGTTTTGCAAGCATATTGATATTTTGTTTACCTAGAATAAATGTGGGTATATAGGATCCGGAACATCCGACCCCAGTGAGGAATCTGAGAAAACAGAAAACGTAATAGTTGGTAGACCATGCCGATGCAACTCCAGCAACTCCTTGCAGCAAGATGGAATAAGCCATAACAATTCTTCGTCCAATTCTAAAACGAAATTCAAAGAATTCATAAATATGATTAGGCGGTCGAAATTGATCATTTCGATTTGATTTAGTCACTTGAATATTAACTGGGAAGTCATTTTTTTAAAATTTAGTTCTTTTTTTAGACACTTCAAAATTTAACATTCCTCTTTTTATTGAAAAAAAAAAAAAAAAAATTTATAATGAGCTAAGAGGTCATTAATTACTAGTTCTAATAAAAACCATGAATATTTTGCCGGGATTGTTTGAATTTCTCATTATCGTCGTTTTCATATTGATTCTTGTAGAAAAAACACATTTAATAAATAGCTTTTAAAGTACGCAAAGTGATTTTTTGAATAAATGTTCTATAATAATTTACTCGAAAGAAAGAAAGAAATTAAAGAAAAAAAAGAGAAAGCGTAAAAACAAAAATATTTATTCTAAAAGTGATTAAAATTTAAAAGGATCTTATTTGAGTTATCCTGTGCTTAAAATTCGCTGACAAAGAAAGTGTTATATTAGAAAAGATGATTAAACCTCGAGCTTTTCAACTTGTCAAAACACTTTATGCTATATAAATTTGGCATAGTCATGATACGCGTACGAGAGCGTGGAGAATTTGACACTCACAGGTTGGAAGTGCAGAGGGAAAAAAACGGAGTAACCTATGTAAGGAGTTTATGTAAATGGATGGCAAAACAGAGATAGTTAAGGCGACAGTCGTTACCGAGAACTACAAGGG